AAGTGATTAATGCAGCTAGTTCAGGTAGTAATGATAATTATACAGCTGAAGAGCTGGAACTTTTTAACTTATCCGAAACAACTAAACTGAGCAACTCTGGCATTCTTCGACAAATGGATTCCAAACTGACGCACCTTGAGCAAAGTCAATAAGATGATATACAAGAACTCGTGCAAGAGTATTCTGATTTATTTCCTGATGTACCAACTCGGACGACTATGATCTCACACGACGTAGACGTTGGTGATGCAGTACCAGTTAAACAACACCCATCTCGTTTAAACCCCTCCAAACAAGAATCCCTGATCCAACAAAGACGTACGATATCTTCTCGGAAACTAGATCGAGCCTAGTCAGAGCAGTTGGAGTTCACCCTGCATTCTAGGTCCGAAGCCGGACGGAAGTTATCGAATGTGTACGGACTATTGAAAGGTAAACCACCTCACAAAAACGGACACGTTCCCTATTCCACGAATGGACGATTGCGTCGATAAAGTTGGTAATGCAAAACGTCTCAAAATTTGACCTTTTTAAAAGTTTTTTGGCAGATTCCTTTCAGTGAACGGGCGAAAGAAATCTCGGCTTTTGCTACCCCGTATGGTTTGTACCGGTATAAAGTTATGCCTTTTGGTACGAGGAATGCACCAGCAGCGTTCCAGCGCCTCATCAATCGCCTCATCGCCGATATTGATGGATGCGAAGCTTATATTGATGATGTCATCATCTATAGCAACACCTGGGAAACACACCTCGAGATTATGCGAAAGTTTTTTCAACGGTTACGCGAAGCTAGCCTAACGATTAACTTCGTGAAAAGCGAATTTGGATGTGGCCATGTGAGTACCTAATAAAGGCCGGTCCTAGGACAAAATGGTTAATACTTCATGTAAGGCAAATTATAGTGGATCCGGGCAAGTATGGGCATGCCTGGAATGGGATTCCTAGAAATCGGTATTTCGGAATAGAATCGATGACGTCACTTTCGGCGCCCCAACCTTCCGGTGCCATGCACAAGTCCTCCGCACAGTCATGAGCATACCCATCATACAGTTATGCACAAGTCGTCCACACATCTCCGCCACATCCTCCACAAGCTCACCGCACCCACTGCATCCACCGCGTCACACACGCTTGTTGGAGTCTTGCTGAAAACATCGGGGGAAGGTAAACTGGGAAAAGGGAAAAGTTTCTGTGTAAATAAAGGTATGGATTCTCCTTTTGAAATGGCGCTTAAGAAATACCGGGGAAATATATGAATTTATTTCGAGAGCTTAGGGAAAGGGGTAAGTGTAAGGGTTTGGATATTTTTGAAATAGCGTACTTAGACTCCATTGGTTGGGAATTTGATGAAGGGGTTCTAGATCAGGAGTTATTATCCGGTATGGATTCTCCTTTTGGAAAGACTATTTTAGAGTACCCTGAAAAGTTGTATCCACCCTTGGAGCCGATTAGGAGGAGTAAGAGCATGGAGCTTTTTAAAATAGCGGAAAAGGAGTACTTGGATTTCCTTGGTCCGAAGGAGCCGGAAATTTCCAAATAAACATTTTTGTTCCAAAGGGCGTGAGCACCGGTTTGTCAAAGTGGATGGACAGAGGACATGTAATGATTGTGGGCTGGTGGTTGGTCCAGCTCATTATGTTTCTGATTACGGTTGTTGGAACAGGGCATTTATGAAGCGACCGTATGAAGAAGCTACCACCTATTCCAAAGTTATTGGCTTTATTATAAGGAAGGATGTGTCATCCTATGAGTTATTTGGGTGTAGAGCGTCTGAGGTTATAGGTAAAATTGTGTGTATTTGTGACGCAGAGAGACCCAAAGGGAAGAGGCTTCCCAATCTTAATATTTTGAGTTACCAGGTATGTAAATGGCTTGGTGTGGAGGTAAATGAGTCTTTACTTAAGATTCCTAAGGGGAAGATTCGTCACGATCGGTGTAGAAAATTGTTTCACAAGATAGGTTTGGAGTATGTTGAGTAATTTTAATGTTTTTACCAGTCATTAAAATATAAGTAATAGCCCTAGGGTAACGATAATAAGGAGGACCTCAACTGTTATCGGGATCAACAGGCAGCTGTTCAGGCACAGCCACATCAGTTTCCGTGGTATCTTCATCGTTTTGTTTATCATATTTTCTTACAGTTGCGCTGGCGTAACCGATGTGAGTGTGTGCGCTCATCGTGATGTCTCCTCGTTCAATACCGATACACAGGTTAATTAAACATTTTTTTCCAAGTGAGTAATCCAAGTGAGAATATATACATTTTAAGATCTAACCAGGAACGACTGCGAAAAATGCAGCACGGCCCTGCGATTCCGATGCAGCGCTCTAACCAACTGAGCTACAGAGGCCAGCTGTTGAGCTATAACCGTAAGTTCATGTATATATAGGTAATCGGGTGTGCGGGTTGTGATAAGGTGGACTTGAATAACTTGGTTCTGGCACTTCACTTGGTGGAATTAATATTAGGATGTTAAGGTTTGTAATCCAAGTGTGAATATACACATTTTAAGACCTAACCAGGAACGACTGCGAAAAATGCAGCACAAGGTCCTCTGGTAGGAATCGAACCTACGGCCCTGCGATTCCGGAGCAGCGCTCTAACCAACTGAGCTACAGAGGCCAGCTGTTGAGCTGAAACCGTAAGTTCATGTATATATAGGTAATCGGGTGTGCGGGTTGTGATAAGGTGGACTTAAATAACTTAGTTCTTACCTATATATACATGAACTTACGGTTACAGCTCAACAGCTGGCCTCTGTAGCTCAGTTGGTTAGATCGCAGCTCCGGAATCGCAGGGCCGTAGGTTCGTTTCCTACCAGAGGACCTTGTGATGCATTTTTCGCAGTCGTTCCTGATTAGGTCTTAAAATGTATATATTCTCACTTGGATTACAAACCCTAACATTCTAATACTAATTCCACCAAGTGATGTGCAAGAACTAAGTTATTCAAGTCCACCTTATCACAACCCGCACACCTGATTACCTATATATACATGAACTTACGGTTACAGCTCAACAGCTGGCCTGTGTAGCTCAGTTGGTTAGAGCGCTGCTCCGGAATCGCAGGCCCGTAGGTTCGATTCCTACCAGAGGACCTTGTGCTGCATTTTTCGCAGTCGTTCCTGGTTAGGTCTTAAAATGTACATATTCTCACTTGGATTACAAACCCTAACATCCTAATATTAATTCCACCAAGTGAAGTGCAAGAACTAAGTTATTTAAGTCCACCTTATCACAACCCGATGTAATGACGTATACTTCTTTGTCGAAATTGGGTTCATATCCCTTTTCAAAGGGTTTGTGCTTTATTTCCACCCTAACGTGATCCCCAACCTTAAATTTAGGATCCGGAAAACTGCTTAGTGGATATCCGTAGATACTTGTCCAAACTTCATCCTTGTTTTCCTCATTCACATCCGCTGGTCTCATTCCTATTGTTCTGTGTGTGGAATTATTATAGGATCTAACGAGAGCAGGTAAGATGTCCACCAAACTTTTGTCCTGTTTTCCGTAAAGTATTTCCACATCCTTGTTTTTAGGGTCCTATTGAATCTCTCGACAAGTGCAGCTTTCCGGAAGGTTCTTGTGGAAAAGTAATGGACATCATAATCTTTTAGCAATGTCTTTACTCCTACATTGTAGAATTCCTTTCCATCGTCGAATTGAGCTGTTTTAGGATATCTACCAAACCTTTCCTTAAATTGTGCGAGCACATTTTCAACAGTCTTCGTCATGCTTTCGGTATTTTTCCTCCATACCGGAATTGCAAAGGGATACCGGCTCAGAACCTCTATGACAGTTAGGATCCAGCGGTTTCCCTTATTCTCATGACTGAACTTACCCATATCCACAAGGTCCATTTGAATTTACTGTGCAAGTCCGTCCACATAGGTCTTTTGGGTTTTGTAATGTTTTCTGGACGGTTTGTGAATAATGTAGGTATTTTGTGTCTGTAACCATTCTTTAACATTTTTCCAGCTAACTCCCTTTATGCCCTCCTCCTTTGCACTTTGGTATAATTTTTCCATCGACATGTACCCACCATTAACGTTAAAATATATTTCTCGAAGAGCTACATCCAATGCAAGACTCGTTTTATTACCTGTAAATAAAACATGAAGAAGATAACAGTCTATGTTGGTAGCGGAGGGGTTACCCTGGATTTACAGGATCCACTGATCCTTACCCACGGATCCGAACTTTATGTAAAGACTGCTGCCGTGTTTTGGAATTATAAGAACATTCGTAAGGGGTTCAATGACTAAATTTCCGTAGATGGGAAGAAGCGTATGATAAATGAAGGGTACTGGACCTTTAAACAGCTTAGGAAAGAGCTGGAGGAAAACGGATTAACACTTAATGAATATCCCGATGGAAGAATAAGGATCGACTTTGCTACGGGAACAAATTCTGCAGGACTCCGAAATCTCACGAGTATTTTGGGACATCGGTCCTCCAATGGTTCTAAATACACCCTACACATCTGCGATCGTCCCGTAGACATCCATCAAAGCTTGCGTTACCTAACTGCGAAATTAAAATGCAGAACAAGTTCCTCTGGTAGGAATTGAACCTACGGCCCTGCGATTCCGGTGCAGCGCTCTAACCAACTGAGCTACAGAGGCCAGCTTTTAAGCTGTAACAGTAAGTTCATGTATATATAGGTAATCGGGTGTGCGGGTTACCTATATATACATGAACTTACGGTTACAGCTTAATAGCTGGCCTCTGTAGCTCAGTTGGTTAGAGCGCTGCAACGGAATCGCAGGGCCGTAGGTTCAATTCCTACCAGAGGACCTTGTGCTGCATTTTTCGCAGTCGTTCCTGGTTAGGTCTTAAAATGTATATGTTCTCACTTGGATTCCAAACCCTAACATTCTAATATTAATTCCACCAAGTGAAGTGCAAGAATCTAAGTCATGAAGTCCACCTTATCACAACCCGCACTCTCGATTACCTATATATACATGAACTTACGGTTACAGCTTAACAGCTGCCCCCTGTAGCTCAGTTGGTTAGAGCGCTGCACCGGAATCGCAGGGCCGTAGGTTCAATTCCTACCAGAGGACCTTGTGCTGCTTTTTTCGCAGTCGTTCCTGGTTAGGTCTTAAAATGTATATATTCTCACTTGGATTCCAAACCCTAACATTCTAATATTCGAAAGTATACACCTGTACGTGAAACATTGGTTAGGAGGACCGTCCCTTCCCACGCAAACATTGGGACATGGTACTACGGCTTACCTGTGAGTGAACAGAAAAGAATACGACGTCAGAAGTACCATTTGACTAAATATGGAGGTTCATTTATCGAATATGAATTCCTGACTAGTAGATCACCCTTTGATGTTGAAAACGACTATAAAATCCTTATTTCCAAAACATTCCGAGGACTTACCAAAGTTGGACAGAAATTATTCCCGCAATCCATTGAGGCGTTCGTGTATTCCGTCCTGGGGGCACAGGCTAAAACCCGGTGGAGTATCACAGGTCAGGGTGCAAAAATCTGCAGACACAGGAGGTTTTCCGGAAGGTAGCAAGGGACACGGTTGTCCAGGATGATGTGACAGGTACCATCTCTAACATGCGGACGGCTATTGGTAATAGCCATGTCGTCCTAAAATTTGCAATCATGCCGGGTTTAATCCTAATTCCTTCAGACCTGAGGATTTTAACAAAACCTATTCCAGGATTCAGCAATGTTTTAACGGTAGCTAAAAACGGGATGACGTTCGGAAAAAATGAGAAGGTGAATTATACAAGTAATCCTGTTCCTACCCCCACGAATAATATAGATGAAAGCCATGACATGACACCGGTTTCTGCTGTGGAGGACTTTAAACCCCCGGAATTAAGGCAGAAGTCTGATACTCAGAATATTGCTCTTGGGACAGCGGCAGTAGCATCCTTTGGACTTGCATACCTAGTATTTCAACGTTAAATATAATGAGCATCTTATTCGGGTACGATTACTTTGATACAACAGCAGAAGACCTAAATACCTTAAAACGGAAGTTGACGACAGTTGAGAAGGCTTCCGATCTAGAGGAACACGGCAGAGGTTGCTAAAAATGCGGACGAGATTGTAAAATTGAATAGCCTCTGGAAAAATTCGATTCAGCACGACTTTTCCCAAATACCTGGGTATCCACCCGGATTTCTACAAACACCAACCATTACAGACACCGATAAGAAAAATGCAAAATGTATGGTATTTAGTGTCAGTGATAATGAAATAAATTATTCGAGCTCATCCCCTCTGTACGGATTCTACGAAACGAATAGGGGGACGATTGTCATATTTACAGTTGACCAGAGGAGTAAAATTATCCGGACATCCTTTTCATTCATAGTTACCAGCACAAACATCCAGATCCATGGTGTTGAATTTAAGGACATAGATTCCGCCGGTAACGTAACCAACAGAACAAAAGCTACAACCGTAAATTGCTTTCTCTTGACAACATAAAATTTTTAAAATCTTTTTGTAAGATTTAAAATATTCGTATTAATCCATAGGCACCGCCAACACCTAGGATACCCACTGTCAACACTGTGTATCTCTTCATTTCGTCCGATGGTTGATAGTAATCCTCCAATTTTGGTCTGCGTTGGGATGCCGTACTATCCATGAGCCTCGTATAATTCCTCAGGTCTTCCAGTGCCCTGTTTGTTTTCTCGATATCCTTGTTTGCATCCAGGATTTCGACCCTCCGTCTTGCCTCGTCGTTCCTACGCTTCACCTCAGATTCGGAAAACTTCTCCTTTGCTTTCGTAAGCTTCGCTAAGGCTTGGTTATGTCTTTTTACCTCTTCTTTGTATCCTTGCCCATTCAACTTGGAGAATAGGAAACCGGCCCCAGCAATGGTCACAGCATTAAAGAGTCCTCCGACTACGATAGTTGTCATCCTTTATTTGTCAATCATTTTTGGGATATATCCCTTATCCTTAAGATATCGTATGGTGAATGCGCTTCCAGCTACGGCAACAGCAAGCTTTGCCGCTCCTTCTAGGGTCATTGGTTCCCCAAGGCTTTTTCCGGCAACCGTTTTGGCAAGGTAGGATACCCCAGCAACTCCGGTTGTCAATAGTGCGGCGTCGTAAAGTTCGTTGATCACTTCCTTCTTCGTGTCGGTCATTATGTTTTTTATTATAGTAGAACTATTTCTCCATTTGCTTCTCTTCCAAGATTAGAGAGAATCTTCTTTCCAGGGTATTGAGCATCCTGTCTTCACTTTCCTTGCGTTCGGTTTCCGTCGCCTTGTGCCTGGCCTCTACAGCCCCTACCGTGTGGATGTAAACCAGTGCAGCTCCAGCTGCTACAGAGAAGGTTAGTATGTCCAGGAATAGTTGTGACATTGTTTTATTATACTCAGTCAAACAAGTCAGGACCTTTGGTGTGATAACAACAGGTTTCGCCTCCTCTACAATCTTATCTTCCTCGGGTTTCTCGTCCTTCTCCCATCACCTTTGTCCTCCGTGTCCGTAATGCTCTGCTCCTCTTCCTTGATAGCTTCGAGTTGTGCCTTCTTTCTTGCTTTTGCTTCCTTACTGATTTTAGCAAGCCTACGCCCCGACTCCACCTTTCTCGGATCTTTTACGCGAGTTTTTGTCGGATTTGTGACAGATACTGCTGTCGTATATGGGTTCTCTTCTGACATGGTTCCTTTTATTTATAGTAGAATTTAACTAACTTGCAAGTAACTTTAAGTCTAGTCAAAAGTTAGATAAGACTAACCTTAAATCTAGTCAAAAGTTAGTTAAGACTAACCTTAAATCTAGTCAAAAGTATCTTATGACTACATTTGAGTAACTTATGACTACATTTGAGTAACCTCATGACTACATTTGAGTAAACTCATGACTACATTTGAGTAACCTCAGTTTTAGTCAAAAGTTAGTTAAGACTAACCTTAAATCTAGTCAAAAGTTAGTTAAGACTAACCTTAAATCTAGTCAAAAGTATCTTATGACTACATTTGAGTAACTTATGACTACATTTGAGTAACCTCATGACTACATTTGAGTAAACTCATGACTACATTTGAGTAACCTCAGTTCTAGTCAGAAGTATCTCAAATTCAGAATAAACAATCTATAGACAAGACTTCCCTACATATAAACAAAGCAGCCATGAGACAATTCAGGAGAGATAATAGGGTCCAGCTCTACTTTAATTGTTCGGATAAGATAGACCGAATTGTAATAATGTGTAAGTATACCGACTACAAGGACATAACGGCCACCATCCTAACATTAGGTGAATCAGGTTTGCCGGCAAAACATAGGATTAAATTCGGAAAAGGATGGATGAGAAAAGGCGCCGAAATTCGAGGTATGAGTTACCTTTACGGAGATCTGAAAGGCATTCACATCCTAATTACCATTTCCAAATCTGTCGAAGTGATTAATTGTTGGCTTAAAAGTCCGGAGGATAGGATCCATCTAGGACCACCCACGGATATTATAAATAACTGGTTCAGTATGTGTATGTCTTGAGAGGAATGGTCAGAGGAAAGGGAAGAACAAAGAATAATGGATATGGAAAACGAAGCGATCACAGAAGAGGCACGAACAGGAGAGATGAAAATGTTAGAAGAAATGCAGATGGATGCTGAAATGAGGGAAGCTCTTCAGGGTCAAGTCGATTAAGGTTAATTGCCAGGTAGTGACCTGGCGAGGTTGTCAAATCCAAAAGACGCAATTGCGGATCCTCTGCCTAAAAATGGGTATTTTCAGCCTAAAAACTGTGTTTTTACCCTAAAATAGGGTGTTTTTACCCCAAAACAGGGTGTTTACATACATTTTCATGCTAAAATTTAGGTAGTGACCTGGCGGGGTTGACAAATTAAAAGACGCAGGTGCGGACACTATGCCTTACAAACAGAATCAATCGTCCGAATGTCCGAAAGACTTGGGAGTATTTGTTGTCTTTTTCAAACCTTTTACGTCTGGAAAAACAGAATCAACCTTAGAATCACCTTATAGATAAGTTTTGCTATATAATAAAGACAATGAATACTTCTAACCCAAGTATTCCAATTTCGGACAAAAAATTCGCATCTACTGAACGAATGAGAACTAACGTTCTAGAAAAGGCCCGAGAGAGAGGTCTCAAAATAGAAGAGAAGATTAACAACCACTTTGACGAATTACTCAAGAAGGAAAAGAGGAAGGTAATCGGAAAGGAAGTTAAATCAGCAGCAAGACAGTTCCAGAGACGAAGAAAGCAAACCGAGGCTAACGCAAGAAAGGAAATAAGGGATACAAAGAAATGGAGGACCGACATCGCCAAGGAAGAAAAAAGACGGCGGAAGGAGGTCACGGACTGGAAAGCCGAGCCACAAAAGTGGAAAAAGGAGACCCAACGACTACGACGGAACGCAAGGGCCCGCGAAAGGCGAGCTGAGGAGAATCGTAGGATCGCAGAGGGTAAATGGAAAGGTAAAAAGAAATTTGCCAGACTCCAGTTAAAGATGGGTGACAAGCTTAGTAAAATCTGGGAAAAACCGAGGGAAATCCTGAAACCCATTCTAGCCAAACACGCCTTCAAGAAAAAGGTAAAGAAGTACGTCATTACCCCAAACGGTAACTACGACCCAGCCTACTTCCTAACCATCACGGAAGACGAGGTTAAAACACTCATAAACTCCGAAACGGAACCCAGAAACGTGAGGATGTGAAATGGTATGGAGCGACCCGAAAACCGGGGAAGAAGTGTCAACCATCGCTCACTTCGGATAAAAAAATCACAAACTTATCGGAACGGATGATACGCAAGAAACCCAAAGCATCATGAGGGAAAAAATGTTAAAGTCCTTTTCAGAATACCAGAGGAGAGGTAGTGGGTGGAGACTACGAAGGGTCGTTTAGCTGGAAATCCACATTGGAGAGTTCCGACCACTTAGGGGTAAAAAACACGAACCACTACCCAAATCTATAGCTAGAAAAAAAGCAATTATCAACATGAAGAACGACGACGACGTGGGCTGTCACACGTGCCTTAAACCCCACCAACACCCATTCGGAAAGAATTTCAAAGGAACTCAAAAGACAATCCGAAGAGTTAAACTGGGAAGGGACCGAATTCCCAACACCCATAGATGATTTTAAAAAATTCGAGAAAAACAATAATAACATCGGTATTAACGTATTCAGTGCCGACGAAAGCATCAAGGTCTACCCCTTACGAGTATCAGGAAAAACCGATCCCATAAGACTCTTCCTATGGAAAAACCACTACAGCGTCGTTAAGGACATGTCAAAACTTGTAGGCTCACAAATCAGCAAGAACGAACACAAAAAATACATATGCGACCGATGCCTTAACGCATTCGGATCAAACGAACTCCTAGAAAAACACTTGGAATTATGCTCGAACAACGACTTCCAAAGACACGAATATCCAAAACCCGGTAGCACCACAAAATTCGAAAACTATGAAAAGACACAGGAATTTCCAATTACCATTTACGCAGACTTTGAGTGGTACGTCAGGAAATTGATCGCGGAAGAGCAAAGTCTAGACAAGTCATGTACCACACAATACCAGAAACACAACCCCAGCGGATTCTGCTACTACATTAAGTGCTTCGACAACTCCATCTACAAACCCAAGCTGGTACACTATACCCAGCAGTATGAGGGGGAATACATCACCAAAAAATTTGTGGACATACTTGTAGAGGAAATAAAGGATATTTACAACAAGTTCAAGTTCAAAGAACCCATCAGAATGACCCACAGGGATACAAAAATCACGGAGAAGCAACCAACTGCTACGCATGTAAGGAAGAATTCACCCTAAAGGATTACAAAGTCAACGACCAATGCCACTACACAGGAAAATACAGGGCTGCAGCACACAACTCATGCAACCTCAAGATGAAGCAACCAAAATTCATACCAGTCCTCTTCCAAAACCTTGAAGGGTATGATGCCCACTTATTTATCAAAAACCTCGGGGTGAGCTGTGGAGACATCAAATGCATTCCCAAGACGGAAAAAAAGTGCATATCCTTTACCAAGCAGGTAGAGGTCGATAAGTTTAAAGGTAAGGATGGTAAGGAAAAGAAGGTCAAAAGGGAATTAAGATTCCTGGACACCTTCAAATTTATGGCAAGCTCCCTGGACAAACTCACCAATGGTTTAGGTAAAGATTATTTTAAAAACCTGGACCTAATATCATCCCACTATACCAGAAAACAGAAGGAAATATTCACGCAGAAAGGTGTATACTCCTACGAGTATATGGATGGATTCGACAAGCTGGAAGAGACGGACATCCCACCCAAGATGAAATTCTTCAGCAGTCTTACCGGCGAAAACATCAGCGACACCGATTACAAAAGAGCACAGGACGTGTGGAACACCTTCGACATGAAAACCATGAGGGGTTATCACGACCTTTACCTTAAAACAGACGTCCTCCTCCTGGCAGATGATATGGAATATTTCAGAAAAGTATGCCGAGCAAGCTATGGACTCGACCCTCTATGGTACTACACAGCACCGGGACTAGCGTGGGATGCCGCCCTAAAACTAACCAAGGTGGAACTGGAGCTTATTTCCAATCCAGACATGTACCTACTCATAGAAAGAGGAATCCGCGGAGGCATCAGCACCACCTCCAAAAGACTTGCCATAGCCAACAACAAGTACATAGCTAACTACGTTCCCAAGAAGAAAAGCAAGTACCTCCCCTATATGGACGGAAACCACCTCTACGGATGGACAATGAGTCAGCCCCTACCCATCAAGGACTTCAAATGGATGAACAGGAACGAGTTGGAAAAATGGGAGGAACACAGTTGCATCCTCGAAGTGGATCTCGAATACCCCGACGATCTCCACGACCTACACAACGAATACCCCCTAGGATAATGGTTAACGAGACGGAAAAGCTCATCCCTGACCTCAACAATAAGGAAAATTACGTCCTCCAACACACAAACCTAAAGCAATACCTGACCTTGGGGTTGAAGCTAACCAAAATACATCGCGGAGTTAAATTCCTCGAAAGGGACTGGATGAAAGAATACATACAGCTCAACACAGACCTCCGTACCAAAGAAACTACAGACTTCGAAAAAGATTTCTTTAAACTTATGAATAACTCCATATTCGGAAAGACCTTGGAAAACGTAAGGAATAGGGTTGATATCAGAATCGTCAACGACGAAAAGAAATGGAACAAGCTAGCCAAAAAACATAACTTCAAATCGGTAACCATCTTTTCCGAAAACCTAGTGGCAGTTCATATGAGGAGAACCTCCGTAAAACTGAGAAAACCCATCTACCTAGGAATGTGCATCCTGGACATCAGCAAAACCCTCATGTACGACTTTCACTATAACTACATCAAACCGGTGTATGGAAATGATGCTAAACTCTTATTTACAGACACAGACTCACTATGCTACGAAGCAACCACCGAAGATTTCTTCAAAGGCATTTCCAAAGATGTCTACGAAAAATTCGATACCAGCAACCTCGGCAAAAACCACCCCTCCGGAATCCCAACAGGTGTCAACAAAAAGGTTATAGGAATGATGAAAATAGAAACAGGCGCAAAGCAGATCGACGAATTCGTAGGGCTCAGAGCAAAACTGTACGCCTACAAAATGGCGGAAGATGGGGACAAGGAGAAAAAGTGTAGGGGTGTTAAGAAGGCAGTCATTAAAAAGGAAATAACATTCGACAACTACAAAGAATGCCTCTTCAGCGGTAAGAAACAATGGAGAGGAATAAATGTCTTCAGAAGCAGACTGCATGAAATATACACGGAAAGGGTCGTCAAGGTAGCCCTATCGGCAAGCGATGACAAAAGGATAATCAACGAAGACGGAATACACACCACGGCAATAGGACATAAGAATCTAAGGTAATAGGAATCATAACAAACCAATTTTAATTTCCGAAGGAACATTAAAAATTAAATGAATCCAAGTACTCCTTTATTTACCCATAGGTGGACGCAAAAGCATCTTCCATGGTTCCGCCTTCCTTTCCCTCAGGTATACCCCCTCCTGAAGTAGTACTTGAACGGATACCATATCCCCAGACACATATATGCTTGGGAACCTAACCAAAGCATCCAGATAAAAATGCTTGCTGGTGGGTTTCATGCGACCTATATTCCATCCCCCATCCTTATACATCACCGTAGTTGCATTGATCTTTGCATACAGGACAGGCTGCTTCCCACCTCGATAGAAACACCTTATGACGTTTGCCCCTGACTTTCCGGTCTCTTCAGCACATCTTCTCTCCAATACTTCCAGGGCTGATATGAAATCCTTATGTTTCCAACCGCCAATGGGATGGTAAAGTTCTCCTTCCTAAACGTCTTGTCCTTATTGATCCCATAAGCTAAGCAGTCCTTTAGTAAGAGCAAGAGGGGTCCGCCGTCCTCCGCCACAAGCCCAATACTCTCAGACCCAAATCTGTTTCCAACAGGTTCCTCAAAGCAAAAGATTTTCCGGAGAATTCCTCTACATTGGTTATTGAAATGGACATGGTTGTTTTCTTTACAGAAACGCTTATCTTTATATTGATTCTGCCCTCCAGCAACCCTCCAGCAAGACTCCAACAAGCGTGTGTGACGCGGTGGATGCGGTGGGTGCGGTGAGCTTGCGGAGGATGTGGCGGAGATGTGCGGAGATGTGTGGAGGACTTGTGCATAACTGTGTGATGGGCATGCCCGTGACTGTGCAGAGGACTTGTGCATGGCTGTGCGGTGGGCATGGTCATGACCGCGCGAGTGTGGGAAGAGGTGGCCGGTAGGCAGAGTGTTCCCAGCGGGGCGCGGGGAATTGGGGGACCGGAAGTGACGTCATGGATTCTATTCCGGGGATTCCGATTTCTAGGAATCCCATTCCAGGCATGCCCATACTTGCCCGGTTCCACTATAATTTGCCTTACATGAAGTATTAACCATTTTGTCCAAGGACCGGCTTTTATTAGCTGCTAATGTGACCTATCGGACATATCGTTGGGACATATACTTGGGACATATCGTTGATCAAGGTAAAGTAAAACCTATTAGTGCATAAATCGAAGCCATTTCTGCGTTTCCACAACCTTCCACAAAGAAACAGGTCATGCGTTTCCTTGGCATGGCAGGTTACTACCGAAAGTTTTGCCCAGATTTCTCTACTGTTACTCAACCCCTAACCGAGCTACTGCGAAAAAACGTTAAATTTATATGGACAGAACATTGTCAATCATCATTCAACCGACTTAATGCATTGTTGCAAAGTGCTCCTGTTTTGTCAGCCCCAGATTTCAGCCGCTCCTTTAAACTAGCTGTAGATGCAAGTGACATCGCTGCCGGAGCAGTATTATTACAAGAGGACGACGATGGAATCGACCGTCCGGTAGCTTATTTTTCCCGCAAGTTTAACCACCGTCAACGCAATTATTCCACAGTTGAAAAAGAATGTCTTGCCCTTATCCTCGCCCTTCAACATTTTGACGTGTATGTTTCTTCAGCCGGAGTTCCTATCGAAGTATTCAGTGATCACAATCCACTGGTTTTCATCCACCGAATGAAGGACAAGAATCAACGTTCGTTGCGATGGATCTTGATATTATCGGAATACAACATGCACATACAACACATAAAAGGACAAGACAACTTGATCGCTGATTGTCTTTCAAGACCATGAACACTTGACGAACACGCTACATTGAAAAGAAAGTTAAGAAACTTTCTTTCTTTCAAGGGGGAGGGTGTTACATGATAATGCTTATCATGTAATTTTACATATTATATTATGCTCTATAGCTTATACATTATATTCATATTATTAACTGAATAGCTTACATGCATGAGTAAGCAAATTGTTTTAAATATTTAGATGTCCCACAACTAACGTAGCGGACATAACTCGGTTTGGCGTTGGCCGATTTATGGTTACTGAGACTTGCTTCAGCGAACTGTATTGCGTAGGGGAAATGAGTCGTAGTTTTCTAGTTTCTTCCCCTAGCAGAGCGTATAAAAGCCTGAGCACAACTAGACAATTTATGCATTATTCATAAGGAGAAAGCCTGAATAACATCGCCGTGAAGATATAGAAACTATAAGTTAGAGAAAGATTTAAAAGGATTATACAAAGGCGAAGATATATTAAAGATAAAGAATTGTCAGGAATGGAAGAGTTGTGCCCAGTCGTGAAAAGAGATAAGTTTGAACAGTATTAAGAATTATATATATTATATAAGTAAATGTTATAGAGACGCTAATTATTGAGATTTGAGTAATATATAAGTAAGAAAATAGATATATCATTGAAAGTAATTGGTTTTACAATCTTTGTTGCGAGCAAATAAAACCAAAAGCGCGGCCAAATAAATTAGTAAGGACTGGCTCGTAACAATATATATAGCGCGTTATTTAAATTCACCTGATGAGTGTGGCAAGACACGTCTTGTCATACGAAAAGTTCATACATAAAGTTCATACATAAAGTTCATAGGAAGTAATTCAAGTTTGTCTTCTAATCTGATCTTATCAGCTCTACTACGGAATTGAGCACTCTACTCATATATGATTCCAAACTCGATACTTGTATATATATATATATATATATATATATATATATGTGTGATTTACCGTAATAACACAATCAAGTAACAACTGGTTGCCGAAAGACACAATATCTTGACAACCTGCTGCCGAAAGACGATACGAGTAAGATGCGAGTACGATACGAGTAAGCTATATATATATATATATATATATATATATATATATATATATGTGTGATTTACCGTAATAACACAATCAAGTAACAACTGGTTGCCGAAAGACACAATATCTTGACAACCTGCTGCCGAAAGACGATACGAGTAAGATGCGAGTACGATACGAGTAAGCAAACGAATAAGCATCTAAGTTTTGGTGCTCGCTGCTTATCTATATATTTTCGTACATTTTTTCTTATATTTGTCAATCTTTCGGTCCTTTGAGACTAATGTAAAATATGATCGTATCGGTTGGTTCTAGCTGTTACTATTCGTGTTTATTGACTGGTCAAGGCCAAGACTAAAGCCGTTTTCACACATATTCGCCGCCATGTCTGTTACGAGGTCACATAAAGCTTTACTGGACGCTGACTTCAAGAACGACATTAGTACATTGATTAAAGATGAAATTATCGAGGTGATGAACAGCGAAGAGATGAAAAGTGCTATATCAAATCAGGTGAAACAACTGATTAAAAGCGAACTTAATTCTATTGTAAAACCGCTCGAAGATGATCTTGCATCCATTAAGGCTGAAAATTCTCGCCTTCGTGTTGAACTATTAAACATAAAGAAACAGAATGCAACCCTTTCACTACACGCAAACGCAAATGAACAATACTCTAGGAATATATAATGTTAGAATATCTGGCATTGAAGAGGTCCATGCAGAAGATTTTTTTGCAGCGGTTTCAATTTTTTTCGAAACCGAACTCGGTGTCACTGTTAATGACTCTGATATTGATCGCGTCCATAGAGTTGGAAAACGAGGTCTTTCTCCTCGCCAAATGATTGTTAAATTCACAAGTTATCGTGCCAAGGAAAGGGTCGTTAAGAATCGTAGCAAGCTAAAGGGCAAGAAAGGGTACGTTTTATGTCAATGAAGATCTAACTTCTTTCAATTTGGATCTTCTTCGAAAAGCTCGCATGGTTGGGCATGTTCAACACACGTGGGCGAGCGACGGTAAAATTTTTGTCATACTAGAAGACGAGTCCATTCATGTGGTTTGTTGCCTCGATGACATTTTGGCCCTTCAACCAGAGAAATGATTGATTCTTTATCGGTAACGCGCTATTTCCCACGGTGACGATATCTAACATATTTTGTTTCTTAAACTAACATTATACTATATAATCATTTTTCTTTCTCTATTTCGTTATGTTTGTTATGTCTATAAGTATTCCAGGTGAGAAGCATGAGGTGAGCATTTATATATCTTTTTACAAATTAGAATTCGATGGGGGTTAGTTTAGAAGTATATCGAGCAGCTATCGGTCTGTATAATTGTTGTATTTCTTATCTTACTGTTAATGCTTATGGCATACGTTTGTTTCTTGCAATTATTAGTCTTGCTATACTATTTATACTCCTATTTGGGCTTATCATGTTACTTTTATTATCTGGTTCGGTGCATCCTAACCCCGGCCCACGCAATACTTGCATGTCTATAGCACGTGTTAACAAATTTAGCGAAATCTCTGCAATTGCTGAACTACATAAATTTGACTTCCTTGCTTTCTCTGAAACTTGGCTAAACTCCACTTTCACAAACGAGTCAATCTTAATGTCAGGGTTTAGTGCTCCACTAAGAAAAGATCGAAATTCATCTCGCGGTGGAGGTGTTTCTTTGTACGTCGCGGATCACTTGCCGTTCGTCAGACAACTTGATTTAGAATCTCCATTTACCGAGTTGTTATGGGCTGAAATAGCTGTCAATCGAGTGAAAATACTTTGCGGAGTGTGTTATAGGCCTCCTAGCCAAACCTCTGATCAATTAGATTTATTTCTAAATTATTATTTACAGGCCAGTCTCGACTCTATTAATATGTTAAATAATTTTTCCACTATCATAATATTAGGTGACTTTAATGCCCATTTTGATTTCGTCGGTGCCTCGTCACTTAATACTGATGTCGGTGTCAAGTTATATAATTTTTTGGAAGGTAATAACTTATTTCAATTAATTGAAGAACCTACTCGTGTTACATTGACCGGGGATACTATTCTTGATTTAATCATTGCTGATTCTCCTGGCTATTTTACTTCTACTGGAACTTTGAGTCCTCCTTCCAATTGTGATCACAATATCGTTTATGCTAATTTGAATATATCTTCAAGAAAACAACGATCATTTAAAAGAACTGTTCGTAATTATAAAAATGCGAATGTTTTAAAAGAGTGAATGTCAGTAAAAATCGAACATATGAGATATTTCGCGGCCACGACTGAAAAATCGATTTTGCTCAAATTTTGCCCAGATATACCTTATTATATCGGAAAATGCACCAGATATTTTTTTAGGTCAAATGCTTTTTTAACTTTGAGAAAATGCCGTTTTAACACGACCACCCTAAATCGCCAATTTGTCTGGGAAAATATGCGCTGATTTTAAAGACAAATTTCACGACGACAACCGTTTCTAATCGATTTAAAACCCTAAAAATCTTGTTTTCGGTTATTCAAAGGACTGTTTACATGACTTACAGAAAATCTGAGTCACTTTTAGGAATAGAAATAATCGTAGTTTTGGAGCACACTATCTTACTTCGTTTACGATACCCTCTTAACAAAACCGATTTTCACCATGCGATAAAGCTCCAAATCGATCATGCTTCTACTAGTTGGCTCTTTAATAAACAAGCTTTCAATTGACGTAAATACTTATTTTGGCAAATGAATACGCGATAAACGACAGCGCGTTGAAATCGTCCGTTTTTGACGTCTTGCAAGTCTAACGCTGTTAATTTATACACCGTCGAAGTAAACAATTTAATCAAATATTCTAAGTATTTTACCTTTTGAGAAAAAAACATATTCTTGAATGGAGACTTTTCGCCTTGCTAAGTTTAAAAGTGGTCCAGAAATCTCGGTATGTTTGTAAAAAAATCATCAAACAGCCGGTGTTTTGAGACATTGTTGTCAGTCCCATGATAACTTCAGATCATTATTCAACGTGATCTACGACCCAGCCGTTTGACTTTAGCGCTATTAAACATATACAAATCGATGAGCTATTTAGGGATTATATTTGCTACTAAATTCCCCAAAATAATTGGAAGTACAACTGCTGTTTCCAGAGGTTTTGTTCCATTTTGTCCATATTAATGTACCATTTTATTTATCGACTGATGTTTACGAATACGTAAGTTAATTATTAAGCAGCTGTTAGCGTGCGTGTACATGTGAAATGAACGTTTATAATGTTTATCCATATAAGGAGTTTATATTTTTAGTTTACCATGCAGCCCTTAGATTTGAATAGCCGAATTCATACTAGAGGGGGGTAATGGGGTATATTCGTGCTGCGTATTGGGGTAATTTAATTATTCGTTCTTCGTTCAGTCATCTTTTTATTAAACGTTTTTCGATCCCGACATGGATGCCGTGTATCGTGCTTGCGGTGTATTCAATATCCGTTCTCCGTTTTCAGCTGTATTTAAAGACGGTTATTTCTCGTTTCTGGACAATATATTCCATTAATTTTGTTTCTGGATTTTAGTTATGTTTTGATTGGGGAACGGAGGTTTCAAAGTTTATATAAATCATGAACATCGACGCAATTGTAAACAAATAGGTGAACACACCGCCTAGTACAGACTGTTTATATTCACCTTTAAGACTTCTAAGTATGATTGTTGCTTACATTTCATGTTCACTTTACATTTCAGATTCGTAATAAATTTATTTTACGTGCTTCAGGACTTCCTTCTTTTATTTTTCATGCTTCAAGATCGCTGCATATTATTTTTCGTGCTTCAGGATCGGTACCCCCCCCCCCCCCATTACCCCCCCTCACATTAGGGGCGGGAAACTCGTCTGTGAAAACCTGTCTGAATATGAATTTAGGGACAGATAAATTCGAATTTAAGACGAGTTTCCCGTCTAGATGAGATTCCCGTCTAACTTTCCCGTTCGTTTGGACCGGTAAGTTAGACGGGAAAGTTCGGACGGGAAACTCGTCTGCCCCCGGATTCATATTTGACGAGTTTCCCGTCTAATACGAGTTTCCCGTCTCTAATATGAATTCGGCTAATGCATATGTGTGTTAAAACTGCAAGGTTTACACTGTTGATCTTATTAAAATCCCACAGACCACAACGATTATACCTATTGATTGTTTCTTGACGATAGTGGACGCGTACGTGCATGTTGCGGAAGAGGTTAATTCGCTGGCCTCAGAGTGACAAAACGTACCCTAGTTCCAGAGGTTTAAAATAATAAACCTCTGGTTGAAAGCGGCAATTGATTCATCGAGCCGCGCCAATCAGTTTGAATTAGGGTCAGATCCCGACTCTGTCTCCAGATTGGACGATTGTATTAAAGCTCTCTGATTGGTTATATATGTTTTATTTGAATCAATCAGAGAGCTTTAATACAATCATCCAATCAGGAGACAGAGTCAGGATCTAACCCTTAATTGCTCGTTATTAAATAACATACCGTAGTAAATAATTTAATCACCATTTCTATAAGTCTTTTACTTTTTCGGGACAAAAAAAAACTACTTGAAAAAGACCAGGGCTTTAAGTAGATAGTTATGATAAGACAAGGGCGGCGCCAGGGCCGCCCATGCAGGGAGGCGGCAAAGGGAGCAATTTTCTCCGCGACCCCAGCTCAAGGAAGACAGGCAAATACAAATTTGCAAGGCGATAAAAAGTTTGTCGACGGAGGGGGGTAATTGTGGTTCACCGGGGCCCCAAGGGTATAATTGGCCCTGGACCGCCATATTTCACTGAGCTGGCTTGGGATGCGCCAGTAATTCTCCGACAGGGGATTCATCAGTGCTCTCTTTTGATCTTTGGCAATTGGTATTAAAACCACTAGAACTACCGACGAGTGACCAGGGCCGGATTAACGTTGCGCGAGACCCGTGGCAAATTTTAGCGCGAGGCCCCCAAACTTCGCCCTTCCCCCTTTTTATGAAAACCATTGAATTTAAAGACACACAAAAGTGTTAAATAATTTTTTTCAATATTTCAATTTATTTGCATCAATTATAAACGAGACAATGGCCTGCCTAGGCCCAGTTGTTGGGTCAACATGTATAAACAGGATCATAATATAACATTCAACGCAACTAGAGATTATATGAACACGAGTATTGTATATTTTCCCGGGGCCGTGCTAGGGCCAACTGCCAAGGGGCCCTAAATGCGCGAGGTCAAAAAATTCGCGAGGCACCTAAAATGGGTGTGTCCCAATAGAAATTGTCCTATTCTCGTATAAATGGGCGTGGCACAGTAAAGCGCGAGGCCCAGGGCATTTGCCTCATCTGACACGTGGTTAATCCGACGTTAAACGAGCAAAAAGCTTCCATTTTCTTTAAACGCGACGTGTGGGGAGACAATAGTAATTTGTGGTGTCGCACTGGGCCAACATGTCTCGATGCTGTATTTTTGGGTACTAGTACTTGCGGAATATAATAAGATCAATAGACAATAGTGTATCAAAATAAAGTAATTTTGCTGATTATTTTAACTGTGCATCAAAGTGAACACACATTATATTCTAAACTATTTACTATATGCCTATAATTTGAGTTTGAGGTGGTAGAATATATAATAAAATAGCAAATCCTTGTATGGATAAATGTTCATTTCACACGCACGCTATTAACAGCTGCTTAATAATTAACTTATGTATTCGTAAACATTTATACTCGATAGTCGATATGTAAATACTAAATGGTACATTATATGGATCAAACTGGAACAAAACAACAATTGAAGTTCTAATTTTGGGAAATTTAGTAACAAATATAAAATCCCTAAACAGCTCATCGATTTGTATGTTAGCGCTATTAAAAGTAGACAATATTGAAAAGTGATCTGAAGTTGTCATGCAACTGACAACAATATTATATCTCAAAATACCTGTATATGATGATATTTTACAAATATATCGGGATTTTTGGACCAATTTTAAACTAAGCAAGGCAAAAAGTCTCTATTCAAGAATATATCTTCTTCTCAAAAGGTAAAATACTTAAAGTACTTGATTAAATTGTTTACTTCGACGGTATGTAAATTAACAGCGTTTGACTTGCAAGACGTCAAAAACGGACGATTTCAACGCGCTGTCGTTTATCGCGTATTCATTTGCCAAAAGAAGTATTTACGTCAATTGAAAGCTTGTTTATTAAAGAGCCAACTAGTAGAAGCATGATCGATTTGGAGCTTTATCGCATGGTGAAAATCGGTTTTGTTAAGAGGGTATCGTAAATGAAGTAAGATAGTGTGCTCCAAAACTACGATTATTTCTATTCCTAAAAGTGACTCAGATTTTCTGTAAGTCATGTACACAGTCCTTTGAATAACCGAAAACAAGATTTTTAGGGTTTTAAATCGATTAGAAACAGTTGTCGTCGTGAAATTTGTCTGTAAAATCAGCGCATATTTTCCCAGACAAAATGGCGATTTAGGGTGGTCGTGTTAAAACGGCATTTTCTCAAAGTTAAAAAAGCATTTGACCTAAAAAGTATCTGGTGCATTTTCCGATATAATAAAGTATATCGGGGCAAAATTTGAGCAAAATCGATTTTTCAGTCGTGGCCGCCTTATGTTTGATTTTTGTGGACATCCTCTCATTAATGCCCTCAATGCGGCACTATTAAATGCTAATTGGGGAGATGTTTTTTCTAATCCGTCAGATTCTATCGATGTTGTTTACAATAAATGGTTTAATTTTTTTAAATCAATTCTTGATGCCAATATTCCCTCCAGGGAAATTTCTGTTCGGCGCAAAGACAAGCCCTGGATGAGTGGCTCAATTCGCCAAGCTATTCGAAGACGTGATCGTCTTCTTAAACGTTTTTTAAACATTAAAAGTGTATTGTCTTGGGAACGTTACCGCATTCAACGAAATCTCGTTGTTAAATTAATTAGGAAAGCCAAAATGGAACACCAACGTAAAATAAATACTTTACTAGCGGATCCATCGACATCAACCAAAAAGTGGTGGGGCATTTCAAAATCTTTGTACGGTAACAAGTGCTGTTCTTCGTTACCTGATTTAATTGACAACAACATCGTCATTTCAGATTCGCAACACAAGGCTCAGGTTTTTAATGATTATTTCGTTGGCCAAACAATTATGCCTAATGCTGATACTGCGGATATTCCCTCATTACCTAGTTCACATCATAATTTATCAATTATTGTTGTTAATGAATATCAAGTGTTAAATATTTTATATAACTTAGACATTTCTAAAGCATGCGGTTTTGACAATACTAGCAACAAAGCACTCAAGTCTTGTGCTGGTGGTATTTTTAAATCTCTTACTTTGCTTTTAAATTTATCACTTTCGTTAGGTCAATATCCCAGTTGTTGGAAAATTGCAAATGTTATACCCATTTTTAAAAAAGAGAATCGGCAAATGAAAACGAATTATCGTCCAGTTTCCTTGTTAGTTAGTCTATCCAAAGTATGTGAAAAAGTTGTCTTTTTGGACGTGTATAATTTTCTTAATAATACGGGTTTTTTCTATCGTTTTCAGTCAGGTTTTCGACCAGGTGATTCCACAGTTATGCAATTAATTTTTGTTTGTAAATAAAATTTATCAAGCATTAGAAAAAGGTAATGAAATACGTGCAGTATTTCTTGATATTTCCAAGGCATTTGATAAGGTTTGGCACAAAGGTTTTTTAGTCAAACTTAAAAGTATTGGCATAAACGGCCCCTTACTTCAATGGTTTGAAAGTTATTTGACTGAAAGATATCAACGAGTAACCATTGAGGGAATGAGCTCTGACTGGGCACATATTGAAGCCGGTGTACCCCAAGGATCTGTTCTTGGACCATTGTTATTTCTGATTTATATCAACGACATAGCTGATAATGTTTCTTCCACTTGTTTTCTTTTCGCTGATGATTCCTTACTATTAGATGAAGTAATATCGCCGATTGACACAGCTAACAAGCTAAATAACGATCTTGATTCTATATCAATGTGGGCGGATCGATGGCTTGTGACCATGAATGCTAATAAGACAAAAAACATGATATTTTCTTCCAAGTTAAACAAGCCCTTGCATCCTATGCTTACTTTGGCCAACGAACCAATTGATATAGTTGATCACCATGATCACCTGGGCGTTACACTCACTAATAAATTATCGTGGCGGCCTCATATTCTTAAAATCCATCAAAAGGCTTCAAAAAAACTTAACTTACTTAAACCAATGAAATTTAAGCTAGGAAAAAAACCCATTGAAATTCTATATAAATCCGTTGTCCGTTCTTGCTTGGAATATGCGGATGTTGTGTGGGATGGGTGTTGTGATGCTGATCGTGACCTTCTTGAAAGCTTGCAATTTGAGGCAGCCAGGCTCGTAACGGGGGCATTGAAAGGTACTCATAGGGAAAGCCTTCTTAATGAAACAGGTTGGACTACTCTAAAAGCCAGACGTAATGATCATAAGTTATTTATGATGTACAAAATTGTAAATAATCTGGCCCCTCCGTATCTGTCCGAATTGCGTCCTGATAATGTCAGTTCTGGATCAAATCGTAGTTTACGTGCCAATGATAATCTGATTGTCCCTTGCTTTCGCTAGAACCGAACGTTACAAAAAGTCATTTTATATTTCCTCTGTGAATCTTTGGAATAGTCTTTCAGCGACTATTCGTTCTAGTCGTTCAATTGCCCTTTTTAAAAGACTCGGCTACACAAGTTCGTAGCTCCCAATCCGCTATATTATATAGGTGATCGTTTACCAGCTATTTTGCATACTCGTTTGAGATTATCTAATAGTACATTAAACTACGATTTATATTTAAAAAATTGTGTTTCTTCCTCTTTTTGTGCATATGGTTTTCCAAAAGAAACTACAGCTCATTTCTTTTTCGACTGTGACCGATATGCTGCTATTCGCAATACTTTGCTCACCTCTGCTGCTAGTTCTTTACTCGCTGCAGCGTGGTCAGGTGCTGGTAAGGGTACACGTCTTAAGTGGTTACTTTGTGGTGTCGGGAATGTTTCTATTGATACGAATATTAATTTATTCTTAAGTGTCCAAAAATTCATTATTGATTCAGGTCGTTTCACCAGTAGCAGCCCTTGACCACGTTGCCCAGTGTGTTTGTCCAAAATTTGTGCTTGCTCTATCAGCTGTTTTTTGTTTTTTTTTGTAAATATGTAATGTCAAGAGCGCTCCAGATAAGCCTTTAGTGGCTTTTGGCGCAATTGCCAATTTTTGAATTTAAATAAAATATTGTTTATATAAAAAAAAAAAGAAAGACGATACATCTTGACAGCGCAAGAGTTGTCACTTTAGTTGTGTCATTTTTTTAGGAGATCTAATTTTGTTATGTATATTTTAAGCATTTTTATACAAAATTTAGAATATTTACCATTATAAAATTTCTGCTGATCAGTTGGCAAAATAGACTCTGCAGCTTAGGGCTCAGGAAGCCACAAAAATCATATTATATTAAATTGCTGGTGTTTATTGTACATAATTCATTTAACTTTTAATAATCATTTAATTTTTCTAGAAATGAATTGATATCTCAGTTGTGAATATTCTGAGCTTTCAATGAGGTCACGATTTTCAACAGACTGGATCTTTGTTTTGGCTTGATCAGTAGCTACAGTTCCTAACTGTAATAGGATGGTGCTGTTGGTTTTCTTTACAATTGCTTTGAGGACTCTCCCAAGTGAATATATGTCACTGACAGGTGTAACAGGAATTCCCTTCAAGGCTCCTGGAGCAATGTGCTTGTATATCTCCTTGTATTTCTTAGCCTTTGGTCGGGATATCTCACAAACTTTACCAAAATCAATCAGAAACCCCTTATTTTGAGCAACTAACACATTATTGGATTTCAAATCACAGTGAAGATATCCCCTTTGGTGCATGAGGTCCAGTGCATCAGTAATGTCATAACATATGCACAGCCATGTTTCAGTGGACATTTCTGAAGCAAGATGTTCACAATGTGGATCAAACAAAAACTTGAACACTGTGATTGACTTACTACTGTTCTCACCAATAAATCCATTTTAAGGGAGACTGGTTTCTTTTCCAGCTGGATATCAAGTAGTAGGGGGATACATCTGTGAGAGAACTGTTGCACGAAGGATGCCTCTTTGTACAACATATCAGTATTGCTGTCAATCAATTGCTTTTGAACAACATTGTTTCCTAGTCGCTTGAATTTTCTCAAAATTTTTTCCATAAACGCCATTCCCAATCGAACCCGCATCAATCTCCTCTATAGAGGTGCCCTTTGATGTGCGTCTCCCCCCTTTGCCTTTTTATCGTTCCAGCGTCCCTGATTGTCGACATCATCAAACGCACTTGGTGGTAGGTCTGAACTGTTATGGGGATTGACATGAAATCCAATGATTCCTGGATGTGGTATCTCTTGCTCTTGGACTTTGTTGATGGTTCCTCATCATCCTGCAGAGTGCTGTATTTGCTAGGCGTGGTGTCCTCTGCTCTCTGGCTGCTGTCTAACGAGCTTATCTTCAACCAGGGGCGGACTGGCAACTTACCGGGCCTCGGTCAGGAATAAAGTCCCCTAATATGTTTAATTATACATTGAGCACCTAATATAAATTGTCATTTCTTGAATTCATTGCAAATTTGTCAATGATCTGATCTTTTCTTTGTTGTTCTTCAGCTCCAGCGCAAGATCATTTCTAATGGCAATGATCATTAGGGATTCAAGGTTTTCCTGCGTGAGCGACGATCTTAGCCTTGTCTTGACTAGCTTCAGCTGCGAGAATGACCTTTCACATGAGCACTGTGTGATGCTTAATGTTACTAAATATTTGTAAGCTAGAAACAAATTCTCGTAAGCTGTGGAGCATAATTTGTGCTGTGATAGCACGCGAAATGCGCATGAAAGACACTTTTTGCATGCAACTTCTTTCACCATTACTTTTTATGAATTCAGTTTATGAATTGATCAATCTTTGAGTGTGTTTTTACTTCCTGAAACTTGTAATCTCACTTCCCTTGAGGTTGAGCACTCTGACTTCATTACATTCTGCGCATGTATAGATGTATTGAAGTCATCATGCTGTACCACATGCCCTGGTAAGACCAAGCAGATGTGAAATAAATACGAAGGTATCGCGTATCTACAGACGTATACCAAGCTGCAATAGAACACCGAAACATGCATGTCTGCAGATTGTAACATATCTACTGCCTCGTCCCCATGCGCTATAAAACGATTTCGCATACGAGTTACTATATAAAAGGTTTACATGAAGTAGTGCGTCACATAGGCGCGCAGAGGGAGATGAAACATGAGCGTTGGTTAGCACCTGGCCAATCTTGTATAATAGCTGTCGAATACTAAACCAGTAAACAGCATATCTAAATATAAATACAGTACCTGCATGTATATCACCAGAAAGAAATGAAGCTATCCTTACCTGTATTATTCAAAATATTGTCGATCGTTTGCATCGTGAAAATCCAACATGTAAACAAGTTCGTAAGAAGAATCTTAGAACGCAATACAAAATAACTTCCGGTAACTGTAGATTTTTTAAATAAATAATTCTCTGCTCATTGTGATAAGGACTCATTGTCATTTTTCCAAACCTTGTAAAGTTATTATATAAACTCTTCTACAGCCTCGTTACCCTCTTCAAGTGTTGCGCTTGTTTGTTGCGATGCACTACTTCGTGTAAACCTTTCATATAGTGACTGCATGAAATTTTTTTATTAGCGCCTGAGGACGAGGCAGCTATACCTCTCTATATATAGACTAACGTATTCTCGTACTGAACCTAAACTCCCAATATGGCCAACAAAGTTGACGAATTATATGCGAAGCTTTTAAGAAATACGTTAATTTCGTTGGCTATATTAGTAAAACAAAAGTGCAGTTGTACTTCAGTAAGCAACGTTCCACGCCCAATATTTTAATATTAGAAATGTGATTGCGAATATTCAGGACAGCCAGTTGAATTTTTGGATAAATGGTTTGTCGTCATTCGAAATCTAGTAAATTCCGGGGGCCCAAATTTCACCGGGCATCGGTTCACGCCCGAATGACCGACCGCCCAGTCCGCCCCTGTCTTCAACCCGAACTACATTTATTGGTAGAGTGACTCCATTCTCTAAACGTTGATTTCAACACTTCTGAAGGTATTTTCCTTGGCACTGAAGCTACTAGAGCGAAAGTGATGTAGCAAAGGACCTTGTTGATGAGTACTTACAGCCCTTTCCCCATCAAATAATTCGACATTGCCATTTTCTTGCTCAAGCCACCAACTTTCTTTGCCAGGTAAAAGGAAATCACTGATTCGTTCAAGATGAGCTTACCATGATATAGATCTGATGTGCTTCTCAATCAACTTTCCATTGATAATAGTACTTCCATATGCAGGTAGTGATAATGCAAGTCGAGAAACAGATGATTCTTGCTGAGAGTCACAATTAGTGCCTTGAAAAGCCTGCATCTCTTTCTCAACTTGCAATCTAATGAAAATGTTTCCGATGATATGGCTTGGGTGGTAAGAGGATGTAGCCTTTGTACTGTTCGTGATGGTGTTGAATATCCTGTCTTGTTGTTCGACATGGCATGCCTTCCTTTTTGATGAGTCTATGCTGTACCGCCGCATGGCAGGTGATGTTGTGGTAATAATTGCCATACAACTTACGAATTGTCAATTCTTTTAACGTGAAGCCAAAGATCTCCCTGAAAAAATATTCCATGGTACGATGTCATGTTGTGCGGGCGTAGAACCGATTTCGGTGTTCTTTCAGTTCCAGAACTGTATGCAATTCTCTGGATTTCCACTAAGGTGGTCAGTAATTGCTGTACAAGGTTTGAGGAAATAATGGTTGAGGATTTCGATGCAAGGATAATAAGTGCACACCTATAAACAAATGTGCGCTTAGTATCCTTACCACCAATGGTAGAATGAATGATGTCCTTGACTGCAGTAGCTTCTTTCCAGGCAGATGAAATGGAAGTTCTGTCAACACATTTTCAATGTGCTTACCTATGTCATGGAGTGGCTCAAAACTTAGTACTTCATACTTCCCACAGTTGATCGATTAAATTCAAGGGTAGATGTCGGGTTATTGTAAAGTAAAGCTGGTAATCTCTGAACACCATGAAGTTCGTTTGTCAAAAGCTTCTCAAGTTCTTTCCTTGTGTTTCCCTCTTCTTGCATTCAGTTCTCGGATCAGCTCATCTTTTTTCAAGTTTTGGAATTGCTTGAAAGCTTTTGACAGAGAATTTTTCTTCCTAGCTTTTGACAAGAATTTTTTCTTCCTAGTGGTCCAGAAAGCACCACTTGTTGTCGCTCGGTTGGCAGATTCCAGTTGACGGGTCGGGCTGTCACCGTGAAAAAAGCGCATTGTATCCGTAAGTTCAGCAGTTCCAAGATCAGTTTTCAGCTTAAGGTTGAGGTCTTCCAGGCACTCCAGACGTTTTTCAATGTACGTTAATTTAATTGTTCAACATCTGAACTTCCAGATCTTGCAACAATATAAACTTCAGGTGTCTCCACTTTCATTTGAATGTCCACGTTTTTGCATCCTGTACGGTTTTCATACTCTCCATTGGTATAGTGAATTGCAGGATCATAAAGGCATGACACGATGAATACCAAATAACCTTGGTTTGCAATTGTGGACAGGTCATGCCAAATCTTTAAATGGCTTGTCTTTTCAATGTCCTTCAGCTTATTCCGCATCGACTCTGTGTTTTCTCCTTCAATGTGCTCATTTTAAGACTTTAGGATTGTTGCCACACTTTCATGGTACATGTTGTCATAGTCATCAGAGTGAGATCGTATGAATTTGACTTGGTTTTTTAGTGTCCTCTCCCTAATTTCTACCAAAGGCTGCTTTCGTCCTTCCACCACAAATTCAGTTTTCACAACCTCCCCATCTTCATTTAATACCATCTTTTGATATTAAATAAAGAAAAAGTTCACAAGATTAGATTACCGGTATTTGCTTTCCTGTACCTTTGAACGATCAGTACAGTATGTTATAATTTTAAATTTTGATTAAAACATAATTTTTTCCGTGTTGGTGTTGAGTACTCAGGTGAATATGATGTTTGTGATGTTGGGCTAGTATTGCAAAGGTCGTAGGTTCGATTCCCACCGTGGCCGAGCATATTTTTCAAGCTCACCTGGTGTGGATATACACTCAGAGTAACATCACAAACATAAAACATAATTATTAACCCATTAAGTGCCTGTGCTAGATCCCCTTGAGAAGTAAAATCATTCGGCGTTATACAGAATACAATAATAAAGTAGGGCGCATCAGGGTGCAATTAATGCTACTCAATGGGTAAACATGGCCAGGGTTTATTTTAAGAAAAATTTAGAACTGCACATATAGGGATGTAACGAAGGCAGCGGGTGTCTGACTGGGGGAGGGGTTCGAAGGATTTTTACCTTAGAATTGGAGAAAGGCCGGACAAACTCGATTTTGGGTGCGGGAGCTGGGGGGTGTTCCCCAAAACAATTTGAATCTAGGGGCTCTTAAGTTCTGGCAAAGATTTTTATTACCCAACCACTTACAAAAACTGTTTCAAAACATGTAACTGAGAATCATGGATACTCAATATATAACAACCTTAAATTTGCATTTGAGGCAGCAGAAAATGTTAGGTTCTCCCAATCTAATCTCTTTTGTGGAGCTTCGCTCGCCCCAATTTTAGCTAGTCTTTTCCATTACCTCAGCACGTAAGTGATTTGTGAGGAGAATAGGAGGGTCTGGAGTCCTCCCCCAGCAAACGTTTATTTTTTTGATGCTCAATTAATGACAGCATTTCTGGAATTTTCTGGAGCATCCGCAAGGGTAACGAGTAAATGAGAATACTGTTTTAATTAAATTAAGGCTATTTTTGTTTGTTTGGTGACTGCACATTTGTGTTTTAATTTAAGAACTACACAAATGGGTTTTGAACTGCCATTTTGTGTAG